ACAAACGAACAAAAACGGCGTCAGAGACGGCTGAGGTATTAAAATCGAATGATATATTCGTATTCTTCTTTATTTTATTAATGGCGCATAATTATAACGTCAGTTGGCAGGTAAGAAGGTTGTAGTTTATTTCTATATTGAGTAAAAATGTAATTTCTCAACCGTCTCTGACGCCATTTTTTTTCGATCATACCGTTTATTTTCCTACACATTGGTAACCTAAAAAACATCAAAACTTTGTACATTCGCATAGGATAACATAAAATCGTCATTATTATTATTAGAAAAAGAATACGAGTGAATTTTTGATATGTTATTGCTAATTGTCTTAAATCATTTATTAACAATATCAACGCTAACTTTATATATCTGAATCACTAAAATATTGCCTCTATGTGGTTTATATGTATATATAATTGAATATTTTATCCCCTAAAACGCCCTAAGGATTTATTCTATATCTATATCTAATACGTTAAAAATTTATTTCTCTAAAAAAATGGACATGTGTCAAAACGTCTTACACTATTACGTTTTTTATTTAATTATAATATAATGTCAATTTTTTTCATATCCAACATGATCACAACCGTTTTACATATTTATATATTTTTTGTTCTGCCTTTAAAAATATTCATTCATTCTGAATTTGAAAAATAAAATAAGAACTTCTCTCATAAATTGCAAAATTATAATAAATTCAAGGAGATGAATGATTATTTATACAGGGTGTTTCCGAAATAAATGCGAAAAGTTCACATTTCGAGAGTCGTCAATTTACCCTTGTTTTTTTTTCTTTTTCTAAATGGACTCAAAAGTATCAAAAATTATATTGAAATATGCCGGATGTTTCTCAAAAGTGGCTCACCCCTATAACTTTTTTATTTTTTAAGATAAAATAACGAAATATGGTATGTTAGTATATGGCATAAATTAGGATTGATTCACGTACCTATTCAATTGTTTTCGGTCACTTCCTGTTTCACCGGAAATGACTACAACGTTTGATTTTTCATTAACACCCTCGGTGTTTTTTTACTTTATTTGATAGTAAATGACCGTCATATAATAATTGAATAGAATGACATATCATATGTCAACTTTTGACATTTTCATATATGGTTTATTTCAAATTGTAACATGCGGTTCATAACGTATTGTGCGTTCGTATTGTTCGTAAAAAATGCTTTGTGTGAATGCCAAGTATGCTAACCTTCGTTCCATTTGAAAAAATTGAGATATGATTAAAAATACGATTTGGGCATCTCTTAACTGGCCAGGACAAGACACGAAAAACATTAGACGATCAAATCTATTTTTCCACGGCACTCTAGATTGAAATTTAAACTACGATTTTTTTATGCGAGAATGTCAAAACTTGACATATGATATGTCATTCTACTCAGTCTATTCAGAGTGTCATTTTCTATCGAATAAAGTGAAAAAATGCCGAGGAGGCCCTTTAAAAATTAAATGTTGTAGTCATTTCCGGTGAAACAGGAAGTGCCCGAAAAGAATTGAATTAATCAATCCTAATTTATGTCATAATATACGAACATACCAAATCTCGTTTTTTTATCTGCAAAAATAAAAAAGTTATAGGGGTGAGCCACTTTTGAGACCCATTTTCAACAAAAGTTGTTTGGACGAAAGCCCTTTTTAAAATAGAAAAAATCGTCGAAATAGCTGTATTACTAGGGTTCCCAACAGTCCCGGTTTGGCCGGGATTAACCAGGAATCAGAAAGTTTGTCCCGGCGAAAGTTTTGCCTTGGCCGGGACCTGGAAACTAAAAAAATGTGTACTACACACATAATATATTTTATTTTCTAATATTTAATGTCTTGCTTCAATTATTTAAAAGCTTAAAAATAATTGTCCCGGAATCGCTGATGCTCAAGTTGGGAACCCTATGTATTACTGGTAAAAAATTAACACCCTGTATTTTTTTCAAAATTTTGCGATTTTAGCTAAAATATACTCGATACTCGACATCTTATTCAATTCCTATTTAACCTTAATTGAGCTAATCACTAAGATACGTAAGTTACGACTAATTTTGATTGGTAAATACACTCTCGTTTCAACATTTTTTTGTCGCTTAATATTTCATATATCTAACTATACATGAGCCTGGTCCATGTCTAGAAATATCATAGGTGTCTTGTTTTGTGAATTAAAAAATTATTAATCTTTAACTATACATGGTTGTTCACCATATACGACACGGAGTATTGTAGCTAAACGATTAGATTTTTACAAATTTTAAGTTTTGGGTTCGTTGAAGGTCTATTAGAGCTACAATTTAGAAATAATTTTACAAGATACAGAGTGTCCCAAATAAGTAAAAAATGCTTTAGTTGTATTTTTTTAAATGGAACACCCTGTATTTTATTCTATTTTTAGATTCTACCATTGAAATAAAAGTAAATTTTATTCAGGTTTATCACACTTAAACCTTACAGTTTTTGAAATATTTTCAATTTTGTGAAATTGCAGTAAAAATTTTAAGCCTGCATTTCTTCAAGGGTATCGAAGTTTTTAATACAAAATATTTACTGAAGTTTATATATTGATCAGTTATTATGTTGCAATAATAAAAAATTATGCTACCTTATACAGAGTGTCTAAAATTTTATTTTAAATAATTACTAGCTTTAAACGGCAATAACTTGTTTAATTTAAATGGAACGCCCTGTATATTTTAGGAGAATCAGATGCATAATTTAATTGTCTATCAAATTGTATTATACCACTTTTTACCTATCCCTTCAAGTTTTCGTAGAAAATGTATTTTGACCTTGAAAAATGTATTTTATATGTAATTTAGACCTCATTTATCAATATACCCATGGAATATTGACATTTTAGATTGTTTTTAAAGCAACAAATGTACAAAATGTACAGGCTAGTAATATCATCGTTTTTAACAAAATGGTAATATTACTAACTGTAATATTACCATTGTAATTAGTTACCTGTAATATTACTAACTAAAATGTATTTTGACCTTTTGAAAAATGTATTTTATATGTAATTTAGACCTCATTTATCAATATACCCATGGAATATTGACATTTTAGATTGTTTTTAAAGCAACCAATGTACAAAATGTACAGGCTAGTAATATCATCGTTTTTAACAAAATGGTAATATTACTAACCCATTTGTATGCAAAAAGAAAACTATTTAAATCTTCATAAAAGAGTCTACCATTAATTAAATATACCACCATTATTTCCACCCAAATACTAATTAATTACATACTTAATTATGTTCGTGAATAAATTATTCTAAATAAATGTGGATTTGAATCAGAAATCAATATAATAATAAGTTTTAAAAATGAATGTCCCTGTTGTTACAAATAAGCATTTGTCAAAAAATGAAATATCATTTTTAAGGTGTTACTTTTTACCACACTGTATAATACACATAAAAAATTCAGTTTTTTAGTTCTTGGAGCAATTATTATTAATCAACGCAAACAGTAAATTAATGTAGTTTGAATACTGGAATCATATTATATTTTTTAATAAAATAAACAAACTATATCGACAATATTAGTATCTGTACTCTTTAAAAATTTGGTACATCTTTAAAAATAATCTAAAATGTCAGTATTCCATGGGTATATTGATAAATGAATTTAAAATTACAAGAAAATGCATTTTCTACGGAAACTTGAAGCTATAGGTAAAAAATGGTATAACAATTTGATAGACAATTAAATTGTGCATCTGATTCTCATAAAATATACAGGGTGTTCCATTTAAATTAAACAAGTCATTGCCGTTTAAAGCTAGTAATTATTTAAAATAAAATGTTAGACACTCTGTATAAGGTATTATAATTTTTATTATTGCAACACAATAACCGATCAATAAATAAACTTCAGTAAATATTTAATATTAAAAACTTTGATACCCTTGGAGAAATGAAGCCTTAACATTTTGACTGCAATTTCACAAAATTGAAAATATTTCAAAAACGGTAAGGTTTAAGTGTAATAAACTGTATCAAATTTACCTTTATTTTAATCGTAGAAACTAAAAATGTAATAATATACAGGGTGTTCCATTTAAAAAAATACAACTTTGATATTTTTTATTTATTTGGGACACTCTGTATCTTGTAAAAATATTTTTAAATTGTAGCTCTAATAGTCCTTCAACGAACCCAAAACTTACAGTTTGTAAAAACCTAATCGTTTAGCTACAATACTCCGTGTCGTATGTGGTGAACAACCCTGTATATGTCATTGGAAACCATATAAATAATAGTCCTATAAGGCTAGTAAAGAATTTAAGCATCTGCAAAGATAATGCAAATAAAGTTCCAAAATGCTATAAACAAGGGTAGATAGGAGTATCCAAACCAACCTATTAACTACTATACAGGGTGAGTCTTAAATGTGTGCAAGATTTCATAATCCTGAGATATGAGTTAATATGAGAGATGTTAATAAATAAATAAAAAATATATAGTATCTGCAAAACCGTTAAAAATTTTGAAATAGTACTCTAAATACAAAAAATGTAATCTTTTTAATTCTCCATCTAATAAAAAATAATCTACAGGGTGTTCCATTTAAAAAAAAAACGAAGAAGAAACATTTTATATTTTTGAAAGTTTTGAACACCCTGTATGATTTAAGATTGCGATATTTATAGCAGAGTAAGTACAGACCATCTAAAGTAAATACCTAATATAGTTTTGATTTCAGGACAGTTCTTGTATTTTTAATAGATTTTTTTAAGAAACGCTGAAAGATTTTTTTTATTTATTATTATCTATTTATTTATTATTATCTCTAAATCTACCGGAATATATTTACTCATATCTTAGAATTATGTAAAGTGATCTGAATACAAGCAAAAAAATGCAATAATATAGAGGGGAGATAAAAAAATCATCCCGATCCACTCAGGCTTTTTTGAGCCACACTGTAGAAGTTAATATATTTTCTTGAAATATAACATATTTTAGGTTTGCACTTAAACAAAATTCCCAAAAGCTTTTTTTTATTCTATGAGCTACAGATGCCCGACGCACTATTGCCGGACACTGTATACTTGTATACTAACTTACTAACTAGCCTTATAGGAATATTACTTATGTAGGTATCAACAAATATTTTAGTACTCTTCTGCGCTTGCATATTTCTCTGATTATTTAACCCTTAAGTTGGTACATTCTAAAGTTAACCGTTCCCAAAACACCTGTAACAAATACTTTAACAAATAAACCGTTCGAAATTCTTGCTATAAGTCATCGAAATCGTCTTCTTTTAGGGCTAAAGGTACTTGAACGCGTCCCAAGGTACCCCTTCTCCTTTGGGGTGACACTGGAGGGCTTGTCTGGGGTGTGGAGGGTGCTGTGAGGTTCCCGCTGCAAGAGGAGATGTCCACTCTACTTCCCGAACGAGATGGTGGTGCAGATCCTGTTTTAAGAAAAGAAGAACAATATTACTCTCCTTACAGTGTCGTACTCTACACAGAACGTAGGCTACTTCTCGCATGTACTTGTGATGTGTGTCATCAGTGTTTCACAAGTACAGGGTGGGTCAAATTCGACGCTTTTAAATGGGAACACCCTTTTCTATGGGAGATAGACGAAAACTAATATCGGTGTCTGGAGCTCAATTTTCATCAAAAACATGATGGTGAAAACCGCACATCAATATCTATTACCGTTTCGGAGTTACGCGGTGTTTTTCAAAAATATGCATTTTTAACAAATCGCTGTAACTTTTTTACTATGGAAAATTTTGTATTTCTATGAAAACATTTCCAAAGCACTTTTTTACGTAGAATTTAATGGTTTAAGTATAATTTTTTTTAAATTTATAAAATATAATATAATAAAATAATTTAAGAGTTATCAACAGAAAAATTGATTTTTTATTTGGGACATCCTCTATATTTTTAATTAACTGAAAAGAATTTAAAATTACCTTTTCAAAAATATAGCACACTTGATATTTTGTTATAATCCCCTTCGAAATACAGAATTTTTCGCCACTTTAAACTAGTAGGCTTTGGACCACTTATTGATGATGCCCTTAATGGAACTCGAAAACATATTTTTCCAGCAAGACGAGGCACCGCCTCTGAACGCGTAGTATACTTAAACCATTAAATTCTACGTAAAAATGTGCTTTGGAAAAGTTCTCATAAAAATACAAAATTTTCCATAGCAAAAAAGTTACAGCGATTTGTTAAAAATGCATATTTTTGAAAAACACCCCGTAACTCCGAAACGGTAACAGATATCGATATGCGGTTTTCACAATCATGTTTTTGACAAAAATTGAGCTCCAGACACCGATATTAGTTTTCGTCTATCTTTTATATACTTGTATTCATTTAAAACTTCCCAATATGGCGGACTTCAGTATGGGAGGCTTAAAAAACGAAAATCTCTAGACTGGAATCGACTGTAGTTCAAATGGATAATCTGTGGTAAATCCAATTGAACTCTGACACTTGACTGACATTGACGTTTACGGTTCCTTTTTCTAAATATTTTCATTATTTTTTGAGTTTTTATTCACAAATTCTACTTGATTTTGTTCTTTTATTTAACCTGCAGCCTGCAGTACTAATTATATAGTTATAAATAATCTTTTCACCGATCAAGAACTGAGGAATAGGCTGGAAGATATTCAAAATGTGTAAAACGCTTAAAAACGTATTAGAAAACATTGACTCGTCCACAAATTCGTGAAAATAAATTAGTCCAGATGTTTGTAAAAAGTATCAGTCATTTTCAGGTTTGTAATATTATGTATATGATAATAAATAGATTAAAACTTGTATTTCAGATTGTTATAAATCAGTTTTAAAATATAAAGAAGGTTTAAAAGTTGAGTTAGTAAAGTAAGACCTAAATAAGGTAATGTTGGTAATGGGACCAAAGATCAAATAACTCTTGAAATATATAATATGTACAATAATTGTAAGTAGTTTTTATGAATCTGTTTGATATCTATTGCATTGTTTTTATATTTCTTGTTATATATATTTTTTTACTTTACAGGATACACAAAGAATAATAAAAAATACAGTTAGGTATATAAACAAACATTTCTGGCCTTCCTGACAGGAGTGTGAACACAAATTTAATAAAGGTATAATGTGGATAATGTTCTGATTATTACAGTTTGAATGGATGTTTTTGTATGTTGTTATTTTTAATAAAGTATATTTAATGAGTTTTTGAGTATTTCTTTTTCCTTCAGAGGATTGTGTTCTAATCTTTATATATAAATTTTCATAAATTATATCTACAAAATTTATTACCTTATAACTTTTTGCTAAAGACTTTGTAGTTGATACAGTTTAACAGTATATAAAAGAACTATTTAAATAAGATGTTTGAAAATATATTGCTGTTTTTGCACGCATCAATTCAATTTGTGATTAACTGTACTGAAAAAAAAACAAGTTAAGAGAAATGGGGTGATCTATCAACTATAACATGAAACGCATCATCCTATTTCCAAGTTTTCTATTAATTTTACTTATTAAACAACTATAATTATTCAATAATCTTGATAATTCTAGGAACTCTCAGACATCGTCAAAACATGAAAACAAAAATTCACTTCCTATAGTTCTTCGTCCCTTTAACTGAAATATAAGAAACAGGGGAGTTAATATTCTCACTGAGAAAGTTTATAAAATACCTTTAAGTAAAATCTCTTCGGATCTGCGGTAAAATACCTTTATTCTTATTAAATAATTTCAATAATCTATGTTTTCATTTATGACAACCACCTAATAACCTAACTTTAACGTCAACTTGACAATACTGAAAAATGTTATTGTTAACCAAAGAGTAAATCAATTTCTGAATTCGCTAACGCCAACTTATTTTTCATTAAAAAAAAATTACCAATTTTCGTAACTAGGTCGGCCATATTGAGGAACTTTTAAAAGAATTCTACTATAGAAAAGGGTGTTTCCATTTAAAAGCGCCGAATTTGACCCACCCTGTACAAGAGACATGGGACCTACAGCTTATCGCCGAATCCGAACGACACTACCTATTTGAGAGGCTCTATAAGGCAAATATAGTCAAGGTGGTTTGCCATTGCCTTCCTTGAAGTGGCGACTCTCTGGTCGCTCTATTTAGATAAATAAATATTTTTATTTAAATAAATAAAGCGACCGTACTAGTTGAGAATCCAAGCCATTAGCTCTCGCACACACTGTTGTGAACATACATTTAATATAGTTATATGTATATGTATATGTATATTCTACAAATTATATAAAATATTAATTTTATCCTTATACTACGGTTATGCCAAAAGAGTTTAAAATATTAAAAAACGATTAACCATCGATTAACATTATTATTCTTCTCAGAAAGATAGACGTAAATAAACAGAACCTTTGCCTTAAGATAAAATAGTCATAGCTAGTTGCGTCATTTTTAGTTTTCCTTAGTAATCCATTTACTTTCAGGGTGCAGCCACACTATCCTAAAAACGGCGTATCGGCGTAACGGCGTAAAGACCTTGAATAGATTTCCAGTAATTCTATTGGCTGAAACATTCATCTGTCAGAAATTTTATCTGTCAAATTCATCTGTCAAAAATTTCAGCCAATAGAATTACTGGAAATCGATTCAAGGTCGTTACGCCGTTACGCCGATACGCCGTTTTTAGGATAGTGTGGCTGCACCCTCAGACGGGATATCTGGTTTCTATTTACTTAAGAAATGGTTATGTTTGGCTTTTTGCAAACCCATCATAAAATGTTATTAAGAAATAATAGGTACGCCCGTGGATTTTCGGAGAGGGCATAAAAGCACGGTCGCAGAAGGGACCGGGATACATTTCTAAAGAGATACACTTAAAGTTCATTCCTAAAAAATTCTTGCATAGACATAAGATTGAATGAATATTTGTTAGTTAAAATTTGTACTTTGTATTAAAAATTTAAAATTAAAAAAGTAATAACCAATTAAGGAGATTAATTATAAAAAATAAATAATAAAATTCCTAACATAAGTGGTTACGAGTCAAATCATAACAAGGTGATTTAACAGCGATTACTGCATTTGGTGGAAGCGACTACAACATTGGTAACAACGGTGGTCCAACACAGGATCACAACATTGGTGGCAGCGGTGGGATCCTCAACATAAGAAGAAACCTCAAATAGCAGAATACTCAATATTGGCAGCAATTCCTTAACTACGGTGGTTCAAACTTAGGACTGCAACAACACTACTGCAGTAAAGATTTGAATTAGGAAAAAGCAATCCACTGGAGAAACATACACAGGCACTGCAGGCATAGCAAGGTCTTCATCCAAGGACCTAATTCTACAACTACAAAAGGAACTACTAATGCTCAGCAGGAAAAAAGTGCTACCTGAACAAGCTCAACCTGTTTCAAGGAAGTGGATACAGATTATAATCTTTGTTTTTTCTTTATTGTTTTTCGTGGTTCCAATTTTCGGAATCGGGCACTAGTTAGGTTAGCTCTAAAATTGTGCGCAGCGCCTGACCGGCACAGTTATTAGAGAAATATCGGAAAACCGAATAGCGTCATCCAGTATTTACGCGTACCTTATCATGATTACGATATGCGCGAGTCAATTTTTAACGCAACACCCGCTAATAACGTTACAGCTTGACGTAATTTGCGGATCAATTACATCAAGCGCTCTTTCTAAATAACCTCTGATAACGTTTAAAAATTGCTTAAATGGGCATGTGCGGGTATTTGACAACCGGAGCTGGCCGGCGAGATCTTTTATTTTAGGTTATGTTTGAATTGTTTTGAATTATTGCTTTAGTTTTATTAGGTAATTTGATTAAGTAGCTGGGATTAGTTTTAATTAAATAAATATGGCCCAAAATATGGATTCCACCTCTTCCAATATTAAAGAACCTATAAAGAGGCTTAGGTTTACAGCAGATGACGACTTAGCCCTTCTAAGAGAATTTGTTGCTTGTTGCCCTAAACCCACTGGCAGACGTTGAACAATAAAGCACTGAAAATAAGCACTTTAGCCCTTTAGTTTTAAAATACCTAGTAAACAAAACAATTTCAAAGTTTTAAATTCAAAGTTAGGTTAAGTTTAAATAGCCGACGCGATGCGATCAGAATTCTTTCCGATCCGATAACTATAAATGAAGAGCGTTAATACCACCTCACGTAAAGGAAATAACACCTGGCCTTATTAACATCCATGCACGCTATTCGGTTTAGCGATATCTCTCTATTACGCTGTTTATTGTTATTTTACGCGAGTTTATTTTTGCGCAGAGGAAATTTGACTCGTTTGCACATCGTCATAAAAAACAATTTTCGTACCACGAATTAGGGACAAGATTTTTATCTGTATACTTATAGGATACCTAATCTGTGGTATTATACTCCTTCCTTAATATTGTTATTCAAGGCAGTGTACTCTCTACAAATATAGTCATTTCATAAAAGCTATTCTAATATAGTATATTTATTCAGTGGACGAAAAGTATAGAACTGTTACCTAAACTTCTCAATCCTGCCGGTCCAGATCTTGGTCTGGTACCGCAAGCACTTCTAGTACTTGAGTTGCTCTTTGTACTGGACGTACTAGGACTCCTCCTCATTTCTGATTGAGATCTTGTAGTACTACTTCTTTTTCGAGGCGTTTTCTTTTGCGTAGCCGACCTACAACAACAAAAAATCAATATTAGAGCAATAAATTGATTCGACACAGTCTCATCAATTAACTGAAAAAAAGGCTAAACAAATTATATTTTTTTTGGAACTGTGATGATTGTCACCAATATATTCTATTATTGGTGGCTTGCCATTTTGATCGGTTTCAAAGTACTAGTTTGAAATTTTCTGAGTAATAATTGGGTTGGAGGCAGAGCTGCAAGTTCACAGAAAACTTAAATCTTTTTTTGACTTAAATCGTTTTAATGACTTAAGTCATTTGATTTTAAGTCATTTTTAGACCGGTTAGCAAAAATTGCTAAGGAGAAAAGACCCAACACAAAGTGTGAACGCTGATCTTCATCATCCCAACTGTTCTTAAGGAACCATTGAAGAAACCACAGGACTTGGTTCTAACGTACGAAAAAGAAGAAGTCATTTGATTTTAAGTCATTTTCTGAAAGCTGACTTAAAACTTCAAGTTTAAGTAATACTTTCTTCAAAATGATTTGTAATTTAAATCTTTATTCCTAGATAGAAAAAAACTTAAAAAAGTTATTAAAAGCTCTGGTTGGAGGTTATGCGAGCATTACCTGCAAAGCCCTGTCGGACAGGTCTCCCCTAAGGCACATTTCCCCTCACAAATGCTCCTGGATTGTAGCAGTTCTTCGTAGTTGTTCAGCATGAGTGCGCAATACTCTTGATCCTTGTATACTAGGGCTAAACTAGGATATCTTTCCTTAAGCCGTCTTCTTTCCTAAAACAAAGATGTACAATAAATAAAAATTTATAAATTAATCTAATTATAGTTATTTTTTATACAAGACGATAATGCAATTTTATCGTCGTAGCGAGTGTAGCGAGTTGCGTTTTAAAAAATATTCAGAAATTATTATTTCAAGGAATTTATTACGAGTAGAAAAAATATTGTGCTGGGTTGGCGTTGGTTTCTATGTAAGTTGACAAATAAATAAAGCCATAGATAAAAGACTTATACTATTAAAAAAAAAATAAAGCTGTCTCTTTAGTTGTCAGTTTTGAGTCAATATTTTTAATTTTCTTTCGTGTCGATTGCTGATTGAATTGGAGCCAGAAATGGCTTAAAACGAAATAAGTAAATTACCAACAGATATTCAGGCTGAGGCGACACATGCCATATCCAAACTACTTCCATTTCAATCGCCAATAACTTATGAAAAAAAATAGAAAAAATTTTCAAAAATGGAAGCAATAAAAAAACGTGCGAGAAGAAATACAGTTTTTAACCTATTCTCGCTGTTAAAGTATCATTTAATCTACCCTTGCGGTTAAAGTACTATTTTATCTACTATTTTTGATAGATATAAGGCAATTTTAACAGTTGCTATGGAAAAAATAAATTTTGTGCTTCTTTAACATTTTAAAACAACAAAAATATGACGTTAATTAAAATGCTATCAATAGCTCTTTTCGTTTTCCTGTTATTACCGATTCTGAACCGTCCTAGAACTATGATGCGTATGCGCAGAAGGAAATATGAAGACATTATTTCATTTGCGCATGCGCTGCAGAGTTATAGCGCACTGAATAGGTATCGGCGAGAGCGAGCGGTGCGAGCGGCGCGACCGACACGACCGGTCGGAAAGTCGATTGTAGCCGCGCACTGGAGTCGCACGATCGGCGGTCGAGAGTACGTCACCAGCATAAATTTGAGCATAGACGAGGAGAAGTTTATTCAAATTTAGTCAAATTCATTCGGCATTTCAAAAAATTATAAAGTATTATTACTATTTATATTTTTATGCAACTTTTTATATTTTATACTTTATGATGAAAATTAATATATTTAGATCTTAACAAACCACATAAAATTAGTGAAATAGAGTGGAAGATGGGGATAAAATATACTACATGACTCTTAGCTTGACCGATTTTAACAAATTTGGTATAATTCAAAAGGGTTTAATCTGTTCTTTAAAAACAAAGCTAGATATGAAAAATAGTCAAATAAAACTTCTATTTTTAGTTTTTTAATCTAAATAAGTGTCATTACAAACATTTATATATATAGCTTTTATTTTAGGTTTTTAAAATGTTTGTTTTAAGTCAGTAGTAAATAAAACGAAACTTGTGTTTACATTTTGTTTAATGATTGACGTTTCGACCAATTTTAATTCGGTCTTCTTCAGAATCTATAATATACGTATAAATAATTTTCTACGTTTGTGGTAAGAAAAAATTATATATTAAACACATTTTTAGTGATAAAATTGTATTGTATATTATAGATTCTAAAGAAGACCGAATTAAAATTAGTCGAAACGTCAATCATTAAACAAAATGTAAACACAAGTTTCGTTTTATTCACTACTGACTTAAAACCAAAATTTTAAAAACTTAAAATACAATAAAAAAGTAAAAGAAAATTGAAAAAATAAAAAATATAAATAGTTTTTATAGTACCGTATTATCGAAAAGGAACGGCATCAGCGATGACCATGAAATGAAGGTCGGTGCCATTTTATATGTAAATTTATATAAATTTACACCTTATTCTATTCCAATTCCACAATCGCAATCGATATTCATAATTATTAAACAAATTTAAACTCATATTGTATGCTATAAAATATAAAATAAAGATCGAAAACACGAATAAATATGTATAAAACAAATTAAGTTATCTCAGGTTATGATTTTTTTTTGGTAACTTTCAGTGGAGCAAAAATGAAATGTCCCTAAAAATTCGCGACTGTATGAAATAGGTCCAAATTTTGCGAATATTTTTTGGCGAATCGCTTTTCGCAATTCGCGATTCGCGTCTATATGAAACAAGCTTTACATTTATTTCAACGTAAACTGAAAATTACGTGCCGCTCGCTCTCGCCGATACCTATTCAGTGCGCGCGGAGCTTAACAGTTGCTATCGAAAAACGAATTATATCTTGCTTTTTATGCAAGACCACGACAAAATAAAGTGATTTTATCTAGTTACCTCGGCTAAGGCCAGGCACTCAAATTGTTCCAGTTGTTGTTGGAATCCCAGGTTCGGATTGGCGACGTTTCTACCCGCTTTGACCACCTTCAGGCCGTCCTTCCAGTTCAAGGTCGTCACAGACATGATGTAAGCTACGGCTACCGTCACGCTGCGTGACATACCAGCCAAACTAAATACAGAAAAGAAAACATTTTATAGTCCAATCACTAGTCCATCACAAATCCATATCACTAGTCCGAAAAAGTAGCAAAATAAGCGTTCGCCATTTAACGTTTTATGTAAAACTGGCAAGGGATTTTTAAACTAATGAAGAAGGAAATTAAACTTAACACGACAGGATCGGGCTAAGTCGTAGGCAGACTTCTGAAATATAATATATATTTCCTTCGGCCATACACCCGCTTTACCCGACCCCTAAGTGCAACCCGAACAGTACAGCGTAATAGACTCTTAAGGAACATAACGAGAAACTCTTGTAATATAAATAATTAATCTACTTACCAGTGAATGAGAACGTTGCCATCTCTGAGTCTTGCCGCATGTATAAAATCGTTACACAGAGAGAAGTACTGGGTCAGATTCTGATCCGGAGTGTCAGAAGCCATCACGCACAAGTAGTGTTTGTCCTAAAAAACATTTATAATATAATAATAATAGCTTCCGTATATAGCGTTTAACGCCTTGGGAGTAGCAAGGTACAGCTTGCCATAATAGAGCCGTTCGGTATACAAGGAAGGTAATGTGGCTAGCACTACGCTTCAACCGCCTATTATTACCTCAGAATTGTGAATCCCAAGTACTTACTCATCTAAGGCTGAGTCGACCTAGGTACCCAAACTATTTTTATTTTATTAAAAATAGTCAGCTGATGAAATGCCGGCGGTAGGTTTCGAACCCACAACATTTGAATTGGTAGACGAAAGCTGTACCTCTGGCTATACAATATGAAATAAAATTCCTTCTAACAAAACTATATTTTAATGCAGAATAATAAAAAACTCGATAAAAATAATGCAGATGCAAAGAACGAGTATTATAAGTTGCTTGTTTTCTTTGCCTACATATATCTGCAATTTCGTTTAATAAGTTTTTTAGCGTCTAAGTCCAAAGCCTTTCTTTGTTTTTACAAACGACTTTTGAGAGAGATGTCCACTACATCAATGACGCTTTTTGACCTAGACCTTTTTAACCTTTTTGTTTAGATAACAACAGGACACTTAAAGATCGAGAATTCTATAGGGGGACCATTCCTCCAAATGAGATGGGACCAAATAACTCCTCTTTAAATCACTGCCACAAACCAATCGAGGTGAATAAAACGAATGTGGACAGATATAACATTCCTTCAAGATGATCTAACCTCGTATACAGACTGCCAAAGACCGCTGACGGAACAGGAGCGAGAACAGGAGTATTTGGAAAAATATCAAAGGCAAGCTTGTCTTTTTTTAAAGCTTTATTAAAATTTTGTAAAATCCCTAACGCGAATAAAAAGAAATTTAGATATTCTAGTACTTTCTACTGAAGAATTAAACAAAAGGAATCATGCATCGGTCAACATCAGAAACAAAAACTACATCTTTCTATAATCCTACTGATGAACATCATAAATCAGGTAGTGACTGAGACATTTTTGAAGCTGTTTCTATAGATGAGTGTAGTGTTAGTTCATCTGAACCAGAATCTCAGAGGAGAACTAATTTGAGAACCAACAACAATATAAAACAAGAGCAAAAGAGTGGGCGTTAAAATACTCTATACCTCATGTAGCTCTGAATAATATAGAAACACTAATAATAGAAAATGCACAATAAGTAAAAAATAACTTCAAAGGACAAGGCGGAACGTTATAGTGGCACCAATGGAATGTATAGTCGCCACCACCGCGATCGGTGTAGCAACGCTGCAATTAAGCGGCAATTTGGTGGCGCAGGGAACTTTCTTGGAAAAATCGCTTTATGGTTCCAAAGAATCGTTGACTATGTAGTTCCAAAAAAGTTATTGTTTCTATAAAGTCGTCTTTGGATAGCTACAATTGTCACTTTATCAATCCGAAGATTTTAAAGATCCAAACGGATAGGGTTGGCCTAATATGTTATTGTTCCCGGTACTTTGTGGAAGCATATGGAACTATAAAGTATTTTTCGGATTAAACGGCCATATTTTTTCATGAATTTTTAGACGAACAGCCAAATGGCTCAAACATTATGCGTTTTTAAGCTAAATATACCTAGATTGAGGTGAATAAAACGAATGTGGACAGATATAACATTCCTTCAAGATGATCTAACCTCGTATACAGACTGTCAAAGACCGCTGACGGAACAGAAGCGAGAACAGGAGTATTTGGGAAAAGATCAAAGGCAAGCTTATCTTTTTTTCATGGGTAAATACTTAACCGAATTCCAAGTAGAATTCTTGGCCATTCTGCAATACGTGAGAGAAAAAAATAGAAGAGCTCACTTAGGAAAGCTCCTCAATATATGCTCAGACAGTTAGGAGGCCCTTAAAGCGACGATGAACCCAAAGGTATCATCGAGGCTAATCTGGAATGCCTGGATAGACTTGGGACTTGGGAATTCAATTATTCTAGGTGCCGGGCCATAGAGACATCCAAGGCATCGAAAAAGCCGATGAACTAGGAAGGCAAGAATCATGGAAATCCTAGCTTGGTCCAGAGCTAGTACTAGGTATACCCAAATCTATGACCAGTGATGCAGTAAATCTTGGAGGAGGGTAAAACTACGGGCGCACTGGTGCGATCACGGCCGCGATCACGATCACGATCAGTGCAGCGATAACATGAGCGATCATTCTAGCACACACCAACGCGTTCACATTCACCGCCGTACCTATATGTAGTGCGCCATCCTGTAGGTATAAATTAAAAATGTGAATTATGTATACCGAAAACAAAACATTCTTAAATATTTACTAGTATATAGAAAGGGGATAAAGACAGTAAGCTTTACAGTTGCTTAATAAAGAGAGAGAGAAAAAAAAGTCTAAAGTTTTAAAAAGAGCTTTCATATAGTCTGGATATTTAATGTAATATTTTATCTGGAACAAATAGAAATTAGAGCTAGGTAGGGATGTGAAGAACACGCCCCTAGTTTAAAAAACAATTAATCTTTATTTTGGAACATTACTGCGATAAACTAAATATAACATACGAGACTAATAACACTGGAAATCGATATTCAATGTTCTGCAGTGAGCCAAACTAATTTCAGGAATACCTACATAACATGGAATGATTTATGAGCAAAGTGACAAAGTCAATTTGCAAAGCCATATTTGTGTTGTCGAAAATTTCTGTTTTTTTTTCTCTCAAAAAATACTGTATAATTGAATAAAAGTTAGGTCATATATTATAGATGTAATTTAATAGAAGAATTAAATATTGTTTAAAAAATTAAATAGTTTTTAATTATGTGGGGTTTGAGATAAAAAATAAATAAATAATCAAAGAAGCATAGTCGTACAGATGATTAAAACTAGTTTTAATCATCTGCTGATGATGCTAACATGGTTAGCGAAACGCACGTCCATTGCAAAACTAAATGTGTTTTGGTGGATTGTGGTAAATTAGTGTTTTTTATTTTGCTGTTGTAACACCAAAGGTTCCAACCCTCAACTGTAATAGCCATACATTTACATACAGGGTGGCCCGAATTGTCTTCCGCAAACTTCGGCAGCATATTCTAGAGATAAAAATAACTAAAAGAGTTCGTGTAAATGTATATCGTAAATAGCTTAATTTCGGAGATAGAGGGTGTAGAAGTTTCATTTTTATTTCGATTTTTTCCAAATAATTTCTGAAGTAACGTCAATATTTGGATGAAAGTTGGTATCTGGGAGTTTTTTGATATGAGAAATTTGATTTTTTGGTGAATTTGATGGCTCCTATATGTAGGGGGCGCCACCTACATATGTTGTAATTGATTTATTTTGTGAAAATGTATCCTTTTTCACTAAGTAGTTTTATACAGGTACGGATGAAAAGTTATTACTCTTCAAACCAGTTAAAAAAATATGTAGGTGGCACCTTCTACAAGTAGGAGTCATATTAACATCAAAATCAAATTTCTCATGTCAAAAAACTCCAAGACACCAATTTTCATTCAAATATTGACGAAACTTCTACACCCTGTATCTCCGAAACTAAGCATACGTTTATACGAACTTTTTTACTTATTTTTATCTGAAGGATATACTACCGAAGTTTCCGGAATACAGCTCGGATCACCCTGTATACTATAGTCTGTCCAAGGAACGAATGAAAATTTCGACAGACCACATGCAAAAAATGACAGTAATTTCAATTTGTCTGTCAATTAAAATGACAGACACAACTGTCACGCTCAAGGATTCTCCGGTTAGACAGACTATAGATTGTAATTATGTTTTTTACTAGTTAAAATCCACTGAAAAGCTGGTTTCCATTTTATTTCAAAGCAATTGTGTTTACAAAAACTATTTTTTTATTTTGTTTTTATTTCCCTAATTTCTAAAACTCCAGACTTTTATAAAAAATATATAAGAAGTATTTTCTTGAAATCGACTTTTATTTGACTTTTAGTTTCTTGAATTCCCAATTTAATTACATATTAATATATTTATAATTGAAATCAATATTCATAGAACAAAGGGTAGAGAACGCCTTTTTATTCTTATTGCCTCATGTTGGTTATAACTGAAAATCAATGTTTAACTCATTTGTATAACAACGTATACAGACAAAAAATCTTGTAGCTTTATAAAATTAGAGAAGTCAATTCTAGACTCTAGTCTAAAGTCTAAAATTTTAATCTGTTCTGTGGTCTAAAATACACACAATTCCATACTAATGGCATAGACATTTTGAAGAGGATAAGACTGATAGGGCTTGTTTCTCTCTACAATTTTCTGTTTCACAATGTACCGTTTATATCCGGGAAGGGTTCATAGTTTTATAGTTGTCGATTTTCGAAAGAAATCAGTACATGTATATTTCGTATATTTTTCATTTTATTGATTTTATGGAAAGCACTGTTCATTAAAATGTTGTATCCTATGTTATAGGGCTTGTTTCTCTCTACAATTTCCTGTCTCACAATGTACCGTTTGTGTCCGGGAAGGGTTCATAGTTACATAGTTGTCGATTTTCGAAAGAAATCAGTACATGTATATTATTTCGTATATTTTTCATTTTATTGATTTTATGGAAAGCACTGTTCATTAAAATGTTGTATCCTATGTTATAGGGCTTCTTTCTCTCTACAATTTCCTGTCTCACAATGTACCGTTTGTGTCCGGGAAGGGTTCATAGTTTCATAGTTGTCGATTTTCGAAAGAAATCAGTACATGTATATTATTTCGTATATTTTTCATTTTATTGATTTTATGGAAAGCACTGTTCATTAAAATGTTGTATCCTATGTTATAGGGCTTGTTTCTCTCTACAATTTCCTGTCTCACAATGTACCGTTTGTGTCCGTGAAGGGGCGTCATAGTTTCATAGTTGTCGATTTTCGAAATAAATCAGTACATGTATATTATTTCGTATATTTTTCATTTTATTGATTTTATGGAAAGCACTGTTCATTAAAATGTTGTACCCTATGTTATAGGGCTTCTTTCTCTCTACAATTTCCTGTCTCACAATGTACCGTTTGTGTCCGGGAAGGGTTCATAGTTTCATAGTTGTCGATTTTCGAAAGAAATCGGTACATGTATATTATTTCGTATATTTTTCATTTTATTGATTTTATGGAAAGCACTGTTCATTAAAATGTTGTATCGTATGTTATAGGGCTTGCTTCTCTCTATAATTTCCTGTCTCACAATGTACCGTGTATGTCCGGGAAGGGTTCATAGTTTCATAGTTGTCGATTTTGGAAAGAAATCAGTACATGTATATTATTTCGTATATTTTTCATTTTATTGATTTTTTGGAAAGAACCGTTCATTAAAATGTTGTATCGTATGTTATAGGGCTTGCTTCTCTCTACAATTTCCTGTCCCACAATGTACCGTTTGTGTCCGGGAAGGGTTCATAGTTTCATAGTTGTCGATTTTCGAAAGAAATCAGTACATGTATATTATTTCGTATTTTTTTTTTCATTTTATTGATTTTATGGAAAGAACCATTAAAATGTTGTATCCTATTAGGACTGGAGAACGTTATCTAAGGACCAAAAGAGGACTTCTAAAGATCTGAAGAGTTCGCAGTAGAACAGGCCGAATCCACCTCAGATATCTAATCATGTCTAATCTACACTGAATGAAATAAAACAATTAAAATTGCTTACTGAATGTATTCTTCGTGCTGTATCGTGTATAGCAAGAATATGAGTGATGTTGTACTTGGCTAGTTGAGATGAATCTTTTGAATCTCTGTAGTTTCCCACATACAAGCCAGGTAAAACCTGAAAGCATATTAAAAACAAAGATAATAATACCCAACTGAAATTATTTAATAAACAAGTGGCAACGTAGCATTTTTCTGTTTATATCTGGTTTGTATATCTTGGGTACCTTTGTTTTATACAGTAAAATTTTACTATTTATTTTATTTCTCTAGGGTTAAAATCTTGTTTCGAAAAAGTAGGCCACTCTGTAATTATTTTACAAAACATAAAACTTTAAACAGTTAACACCCAGTAAGTTATAGACTTTAGAAAGTTTTTGGCAACGGTTTTCGTGCCTTTGTTCGCAACTATACTCACCAAACTCATGCCAAAATTCCTTTGTGTTAACGGGGAGACAATAACTTGTTCATTATCAAACAAAACTTCAAAAGAAGACATACTTAAGCACGTGTATACTGTAAAATGTTTCTCTCTAAAGTATGTAGTAGGTACCCTTGAACTGAATATTCAAAATTGCTCTTTATAGCAGCTGTTTCAGGTAGAATCATTAACTGACATCTGTAAGTGTCATAAAATTTGGTAAAGGTAAAATTTAGAGGTTAAAAAATATGGTGGAATCTTTGAATAAGAAGACTAAGGAAGGAGCATATCAAAAATCTTAGGTACACCGCGATGGGCCTCAAATATGGCCGACTTAAATTCCGGTTTATCAGTGTCGTTCTAATTTTATTTAAAAAATGTAAAACTATGATGTAGGGTAGACGTGGGGTAGACTCAATAATTTGTTGTTTTATTTTACGTTGTGAATAAATGTTGGTAGTTATTAAAATTGTTATAAAAATATATAATTCTAATAAAAATAAATAAGTTATAATAAGTATTTATTAACACAAACATCCGATACGCTACTGAAGCAGGTAAGTCAAATTAACGTATCTAAATTCTTTGACATCTAATCTTTGACAAGTTATAAATAAAAGCTAAAATGCAAGAAAAATATATAATTTAGTTAATTTAAGTGAATTTCATAAATGATCGGTTTACTACACGTATGTATATTATATAGTCACTTTACTAGCGAAAAGTTGTTCCATTATTTCACTCAATTTCTGCCGAGATCTACCGCACGCTACACAACCAACTATTTTAGAGTCTTTTTCGATAAATCGCGATAGTGTCACTGTTAATTTAAGTTCTGCCACAATTTCCATCTAGATTTACTACCTTTATACAACTATCAGTAGTAGAATAAATAATAAATAACATAAAATAAGCTCCGTAAAGGCTGACAAATCCACAAAATTTCAAATCAAATTCAAATGTGTCAAATGAATCGTCAAACAGAACTGTCAAGGATCCCCACCCTAGAGAGCTTTTATGGTGGCTTTTCCGCCCACCATGCTTGAATACATGGATAGTATTATGCTCCTTCCTTAGTCTTCTTATTCAAAGGGTGGAATACTTCTTATTCAAAGGGTGGAATATCATCTCAATATTATTGTCATAATATCTCGTTATTATGACAACATAGGTAGTAGATTAACTTTACAAAAAAGAACACCCAGAAAGAATCCAGTGGTTCTCAAAATATGAGCAAAAATTATTTTTAATTTTCGAAGTAAAATAACTCGATTATTTTGGACTTATTTTAATTTAATACCATTATTTTTTTTATTTGAAATTGCTGTAGGTTGAACTAATATTAATAATGACTAATAGTAATTATATTTAATAATAAATTAATTAAAATATATAATTTATTAGTTTTATTTTAATTTTAAATTTATTAATTATGATTAAAATTGCGTTTATCTCATAACGCAGGCCGAGTTCGTCAAAATATCAAGAGATAATTTTTAATTTGCATCAAACGGCCTACACAATTTTGATATTAAAGGAAAAAAATCAGTGGCGCACATGTTTTTTTTTTGAAAAATATTCCAGTGATAACCCATATGCACGTCACTGATGAATTTATCGACACTTTTTTAGCATTAAAATATGTAGCACTTATAGTAACTTTTACCCTCAAAATTTTATTCGAAATTCGAACCAGTAAAAGTACTTGAAAGAAAATGATAAAATAATAAATGGAAAGATTATTAAGATTTTAACACCCTGCAGCTACGAAACAAAGTTATTTTTACCTGAAGAACCTCCCCACGAGACATGGCACATGTTTTTTGAAACACCCTGTATATATATACTAAAATAAACACAAATAATTTCTCAACAGAAAAACATTAATCATGAGAGACAAACAAAAAAAAATAAATGCTGAACAAAAGATTTTCTCAGACAGGAACAATTTAAAATTAATTCACTCATTACAATGCAAATTAAGCGGAAACTATAGATTTTTCAAACAAAAAACTGCACACACGTCCACTGCATGCAATTTCAAACTAAAAAATGCCGGAAAAGCGCTATTTTCATAAGGAAATTCCCGGGAAAACTTACTTTGTTCATGCCATTCCCCATTTTCGGGGGGCCTGACGTGTCGAGCCCCCTGACGGGGGGCTGCTCTAGGGCTGGAACAGTGCCCTGCGAAGGGTGCGGCGGTCTACTGAGTGAAAATCGTGTTTCCGTGCCACAGGGAAAACAAACCGGGAAAATTTCTCGGTGTTGCCGGTGTCGCTTGTATATTTTTCCTTAAATTCGGAAAATTTCTGAAAAAGTTTATTTTTTGTGAATGTGTGGTGGTCTTAAAGGAATGGAAAAAAATATCTTATTAAAACAAATAATTAATTTTACTTCACTTATTCTACTACATTTTTGTGTCCTATGTTATAGGGCTTGTTTCTCTCTACAATTTTCTGTTTCACAATGTACCGTTTGTGTCCGGGAAGGGTTCATAGTTTCATAGTTGTCGATTTTCTAAAAAAAATCAGTACATGTATATTATTTCGTATATTTTTCATTTTATTGATTTTATAGAAAGCATTGTTCATTAAAATGTTGTATCCTATGTTATATGGCTTGTTTCTCTCTACAATTAGTAGTAATATAGTTGTTACTACTATATAGTAGTATGAGACAAAAATGTCGCAGAAATGTATTGGATTTGTCGCAACCAAAATTTGGTCAGGACCCGGCATAAACAGTGAAAATTACAGTTGAGGGCTGGAACCTTACAATTACTTCCTCACATTCAGTAAGCAAGGAATTGGACCGTTGTCTCTGTTCATACTATCTTTACATTTATTAATTCTGATGCTTTCATATACATAATTTGAGACTTGTTTAAGTAATTTTAAGTTATTAAGATCTATACAATGTTCTTTATCAACAATATGTTCGGCAACTCAGGATTTATCAGGTCTACCATATCTTATCTGAGCTAAATGTTCTTTTTTAAATCTAGTTAATATTGATCTTCTAGTTTGCCCAACATATTTCTGATTACAATCTTTACAAGAAATTTCATAAATACCCGACCTTTCCAGTAGGGAAGAAATCATGTCGTGTTGATAAAATAATTAGAAAACGTAGGTATAGGTTAATGATTTCTGAAAATTCGACTTTTCAAGTGGAGAAAGATACGTCAAAATATTTTTCAATACCGTTTGATAGACAGTTGTCCCGTGGTCTAAAAGGAATTTTTAAGAATGTCAATTATAAACTTGTGTATAGTGCTAATAATAAATTACAACAATTATTAGGTAATCCAAAGGATAAAACACCTCTACTGGAAAGGTCGGGTATTTATGAAATTTCTTGTAAATATTGTAATCAGAAATAAGTTGGGCAAACTAGAAGATCAATATTAACTAGATTTAAAGAACATTTAGCTCAGATAAGATATGGTAGACCTGATAAATCTTGCGTTGCCGAACATATTGTTGATAAAGAACATTGTATAGATCCTAATAACTTAAAATTACTTAAACAAGTCTCATATTACAGGCAATTAGATGCATATGAAAGCATCAGAATTAATAAATGTAAAGATAGTATGAACAGAGACAACGGTCCAATTCCTTCAAGTTCTTTGTTCCTACTGCTCTAGTGGCGGAAATCTAACTGTTACGCTCAGTGGGTTCTGACTCGGTTGGCTAGATCTTGCCACGCCCACACTGTGCCCACTGAGCGAGTATATAAACGCTCCAATTGTAGATTGTATTTTAGTTTATAATCATCTGCTCATGATGCTAACATGGTTAGCGAAACGCGCGTCCAGTGTAAAAGTAAAAGTGTTTTGGTGTATTGTGATGAAACAGTGAAATGTAAAAACAAATTTAGCAGTGACTTTCAGTAAATTAAAATGGATCTGGCAACGCTGTAATATATTAAGTTCGTATGAAATTTAGTGGTCGATAGAAAATAGCATAAGAGTGCCAGGTGTCGAACAGATTTTATTTTACAATGGAAAAGAATGGAGTAAAACAAGTTCCTTTGTGACAAGGGTGGTCATTTTGCGACTTTTATTGATAAAACTTGATAGAAAACATGTTTGGTGTCTTTGGAAGATATGTTTTATTCATAAGTAACATACTTCTACCAATAGCAAATGGTAGTACTTAAGGAAATAACTAAATATATGTTATTTATAGCGTTATTCTAAAAAAATAAGAGAATAAGAATAAAAATAGTGGTAAAAAAATAATTTATTTTGACCATTTCACAGCTTAAGTAAAAAAAAAGTATTCTGTAAGCTGTGACCATTTTCTAGATGCGCCATTGGATCAATGAATAAATGTAGGGGACGGTAGCCTAAACTTTAGCGCTTCTCTTTAGTTGTCAGTTCTTGAGTCAATATTTTTTAATTCTCTTTCGTGTCGATTGCTGATGGAATTGGAGCCAGAAATGGCTCAAAACGAAATAAGTAAATTACCAACAGATATTCAGGCTGAGGCGACAAAACGCCATATCCAAACTACTTCCATTTGAATCCCGAATAACTTATGAAAGCAATACAAAAATTTTCAAAAATAGAAGCAATTAAAAAACGTGCGAGAAGAAATAAAGTTTTTAACCTATCCTCGCTGTTAAAGTATCATTTAATCGAAAGTGAAATAGCAAAAGCGGTTCCACCGTTTCCACGGAAATTTCAAATAAAATAGTTTCAGCCTCAGGCGCTAGGTGGTAGTGCAATTAATTTTTAGGTTAAGAAGTTGCTACTAGTTATTTCCAGATGGCGTTAAATCAAAATTTTTTTGTAGTTTCCAACGGCCATTGTCATACTATTGTCAAATTCTCCAAAAAATATTGTCGTTGTCATAGCGCAAATTCAAACGCCAATCCATAGATAAATGCAACAAGTTTAGATTGGAAAGCCCGTAAAAATTTTAGGTCGCGAAATTATTTTGGGTCGCGACCGTTATACGCGATCTGGCGCTGCTATAGCGGTCGCTAAGAACAACGGCGAACAAAAACAGAAATAATTTTCTCTTGTCAAAGTCAGAATCTTCAAAAATCATAATAATCTTTCAAAATCTAAACCGCTCTCATTAAAGAAATTCCGAAAAGTGTTTATAGCGTCCATTTTCAAAGTAATATTGCTATCTTGTGAGTTTAATTCAAGTTTTA